GTTGGCAAGAGCTATTGGCGGTTAACTAATATAGTTTAATAATTCAAAAAAGTGGGAAGAATAAAAATATGGGTTATAAACACAGGATTTATCTTAGTGGACATCTCGTCTCATCACGCAGAAGAATGAACGCTCTCTAGAGTAGCAGATGCATGTCCAAGAGTCCTTAGTATGGGGAAGGGTGTTCTGAAAAGAAAAAAGACTTTTCTAATGTTGTCTTGGTTGTATTTTTATGCTGAGGGTGAATTCCCTCTAAGTCTTATTTTCTTATCTGTTGAATAAGCATTTACCTATTTACAAGTGACTAAAGTATTCAACATGAAATTATTATTTTTTTTACTTGTAAAATTGTTGAGGGCGCAGTGGGGGGCAGGGACTGCAATTGCTTTCTCACATGCCCATAAAACTGAAAAATATGGCAAAATCTTTATAAAAGATGTCGGGTTTTACAATGACCAAATTGTATCCAGTAATTTAGCATTTCGTCCATTAGGATCACTTCCATTACAAGTGAAAATGCCTATAATACCCACTAATTTGCTTCTAAGTGTGCCTTTCCCTCTTTCACAGCCTTAATTGCAGCATTTGGACACTAAGGCAAGCTCTGTATTCTTCACAAGGCACTCAGCAATGCCTCCGGGGAGTTTTAATTCCATATTCAAAGTCAGCATGCAACAGCAATAACCATTTTTCAATCTAAATTAACACATAGCAACAAAAAAAGGGTGCAAAAAAATGGAAAAATACTGCATGAACCAGGGAAAAAAACCCAAAACAAAACAAATGCAAAACAAAAACCTTTATTCACAGTATTCAATAAATATCAATCATGTAGATAAACTGAGATGAGACAGACATACTGGTGATCGTGTTTTCCATATATTGCATAGTCGTTACACATGAAGATGTAAGTACAGAACATGTAAGCTGTTGATCTTGCCAGAAATACAGCATTCTTGTAAATTCCTGAGAGATGAACAGAAAGAGCAAACAACCTTCTTTTTTCTTTAAACTGGTGATCACATCATCCTCCATGGACTGGAGATAAACAATGGTAGACATGTTTGAAGCCCTACCTGTGTGACTAGCATAGCTCCCTCCATAGATTCAGTAACAAAGTGAAAGGAGCCACCCTAGGGCAGGAAGTATGTTATTCTAGAAAAAGCAAACTAATGCTGCCACAACATTGAAGGACTGGTAGGCTGCAAAGTATTACAGTTTTGTTTAACTATGCTTCCAAAAAAAGGCCTCTTTAGAGCTGAACCTCGGACCAGCATATTAATGTAGTTTGGTATTCATTTAAGCAAGTCATGAAATATATTTGGAAATACTGCTAATACAAGTACCCAAATCTGTGTTCAAATTAATCTACTTGCCTGAGCAGGAAAGGGAGAAGGGGGTTTAACTCTGTTCACTGTCAGTCGAAAACTGAACAGACTTTCGGAAAACCAGAATGAGTAATGATTTCATCAGTGCACTGTGTTTACTCTTTAATCAGTAGGCCTTTGACCAAGTAGTGATGATGAATAACCATGGTGGTCAAGGATCTGGCTTTTCTGTCTGGCACAGGTACTTGTGTCATAAGACTGTCTGAAAAAATGTAAATCTTTCATAGCTGAGACCATCCGCATACGTATTACCTGGAATTCCTCAAGAACCGGCCGAAATTCGCACAGTGTATGGCCACCTTAGGTGTATTCTAAACTGAACCCATTATTTTATCCCTCCGATGTTTGATCAGCTAAGGGTTATGATGTAGGTTGTGCAATACTTACCCTATCCTTTCGTTGGCTGCCAACCCCGGAACACAAGCATGGCAGTAGAACGCCTGCCCTCTAGTAAAAGACAAAATCCCCATTCAGCAATTGACTAGCTATTCCTGAGCATCATCCACTGATGGGGAACATGTGACCCGATGCCTTGGTTCTGTTCAAAGTGCCGGCAGCCAGAGCCTGAAGCTGCCCACAGGGAAAAAAACAGCCTTTTCCATCAGAATAAGTAATAGAACCGTGGCGGTATGTGTATAAGGTATGTTCGGTTTAGATCGGTTTTTAGATCAGGTTTAAAAAGCAATCTAAAAATTCACATCAACCAGATCGCTGGTTAGCGAGAGACGTGATTTGTTAGCAACTGTCTGTTGACATCAATGCATTGCAAATAGAAGCAATTAGCAAGGAGTTAAAATGCTTGTTGACAAGAAATTAAATTGTTTGCAAGGCTCTTGCTGTACGAAATCATATCCTAACACACGTCATTTCTGGGGTAGTTAAGGTAAACCAATTTGGGAAACTGTTGCTTCCATTAAAGTTCTTGTGACGTAGTCCATTTAAGGTCTGTAGCCAACAGCGTTTCTTCTAAAATGGTGTTACTGCAACAGTTCTACATTACAATTTAGGAAAGGCAATTATCCTCCCCTGAGATGATGTGCATAGTCACGTGTCCTTGACACATGTGCCAGAGTTCCAGGCAGTAAAAGGAGATCTAGTAACCTGCCCTTAGTTAAAATGGCTACTGTCAGAAGAATGGGGGAAGAAAAGAAAAATAAGGTATGCAAAAGGATAAAAAGCCTGCAAGTATCTGCTGTAGATTGCCATTACCAAGCTTATCTAAAAGGTGCCTTTGTTGTTCTTTTAAGGATATGGGTAAAGTTCCTCTTTAAAGGCAAACCCCTTGACAAAGTCCAATATAAAAGGTAAGTCAGAATTGAACAAAGCACTTTAGCGATACTTCATTCGGTCTCCAAGAGAGGTTGTAGTATGACTTCTCTTTTTTCCCCTTTTAAAAGTCCGGGATAAAGCAGTAACATAAAATTAACAAGTCTAATATACAGATATAAATCAAATGTATAAAAGTCCAAGACGATGCCAAAAATGTAAATTACAATAAGATGGTGAAGCAAGACGGACTTAAAATTATGCAACTTTAACAAACTGTTTTTCTTATACAAAGCAGTTATAAAAATCCTTCATTTTTATTAACATGTAAAACTAGAGCGCTCTCAAACAAAGAATATTCAGAATAGTTCACTGGCTTAAACACAAAATGACACAAAAGGCACAAACTTTTTCAGTTACAAAGCGATCACACAATAAGGCACATTGGCACTGTTCAAGTGTTTAGAAGGCATCTTGGATGAGGACAGTATTTAATTGTGCTTTTACGAGGTACTGCACAATGGCATGACTTCCGTTTGAGAGCTCTTTAGGCTAAGAACTCTATTGATTTGGGGACTCTACAACTTTGCAGACATGGTAAAACTTTGCTGGAATTCGAATCCCTATTGAGGAGCTGAGGTTATATGATCTTCTTCGAGTTATTCTTTAAATGTGCAATCTTGCTTGGTTATGCAGAATGTTACCAGAAAAAGGTTATTTATAGAATGTTACCAGAAAAGGGTTATTTACAACCGGCATGCAACATGAAGTATAATTTTAAATGTATAACCCAACCGTACCCCCGCTGTGAGGACTTTTTAATAATGTTTCTATGTTGATGCATCATCTAATGAGCATATGACCTCATTGAAGAAAATTATTTTGCTTTTGTCCTATGGCGAGAACATATTACGCCAGCATCCAAGTTTCAAAGTAAATATGTCAGTACTCAAAAGTTGCCAACCTCAAAGATCACAATGAGCAGGCATATTAATGTTGTTTACTTGGAAATCGGTGTGCCAAGTCCGAGGCTGCTGTAACTGGCAAGCGTAAACATTTCCTAGTGGTTTTAAATGTTGGCCTTGCCCCCTCCCATAAGTTCCTATTGGTAAATTACTATAGGTAGCATTACTAATAAATAGGAATTCGTGAAAAGGGGTGGTACCAGCACGCAACACCAACAGACGTGACAGAACCTGACAATTACAACAGTCCTGTATTCAGGGCACCCAGGCTGCAAATGAAAGCAGTTAATGCTGCTTGCGATTGGGTACAGACAGGAGACGTTTTGGCATACCTGTTCTACAGATGAAGAGGCAACCATTGTAATTTTCTTGTGAATGCCATATATTAATTCACAAGAATGTAGCCTAAATAACATTATTTGATAGCAATCAGCTTTAATTCTTAGAGTGCAAGTCAGCCAATATGAGAATCTGACTAGTTGCTATGGACTACAGACCTTTTCCTCCAGTCCTCCTGCATTAGGTAGAACGGGGCGTTTAGGCGTGTTGTAAAAGACACATTTGGTTAGGGAAATCAGATAGAGCGCAGTGCTAACAGAGGAGAAGTATGAGATAAACCATGCAAACAGCAGGCAAGGAAAATATTAATATCACTGTACCAGTTAGCAGTCCTAACAGCACAATGGGCCTATTCTTCCAAAGAATCCCATACCCCATGAATTACCCTTTAGAAAAAAAAAGTCTTAGTCATAACACTCTATGCCATGACAAAACCATCCACTTATATCCAAGCAAAAGCTAAGATCTTTATCAGCTGCAGCAACAATAAACGACAAGTCACCCAGTAGAGCTCAGCAAAAGGTATAAGGAATGATTAATTGCAAAGGAAAGCATAGGCCTGCCCCCAACAAAACAGATAAAAAGGATAAAAAAACACTGCATCAACGCAAGCACAGTTAAAACAAGCTCTTGCAGTGAGAGCCAGCTCACAACACTGCACTAGTAAACAGAATAGGATTAATTTTCTTAATACGGGTCAGCTAGTATAATACTACTATAGTATTTCCAGCCCTTCTATAATAATTTAAATTATATACATGGCACTGTGAGGCCTGCACATGCTCATAGGGACTATTAACATGAAGTGCTGCTGAATTTACAATACAATTTGTTTTTGGTTCCAAACAGCAACAATTCAAATCAAATTGCCACCTGACCTACAGTAGGGCAGAAAAAAAAAAAAAGGAAATTAAAACAAAGTCTTTATTGCCCCCACCATCCCCACTGGCTCTTAGGTACTTCAAGAGGAAAGGCATCACCATACGTCAGTCCACGCTATAGTGCCATCCGCTGAAGCCGTGCTTAGGAAGTAATCGCCTACCTGCTTTTGGTTGTATTTCTGGGGATTGGTCCGATAGCTGTAATCCGAGTACTGATCAGAGCCAGTGGATGTGTTGTCCCCAGTGCCAACGAAGGTGTTGGCAGCCGGTAGGTCTTGTACCACCTGGTGCTTCTTGGAGGCAGATGGGGACTGTGGCTGCAGCTGGATGGATGGCAGAGGGGAGTTTGAGCGGTAATGGCGCCCCAAATCTGGGCTCCCAGGTGGGTAATTCAAGGGCAGATGAATCCTTGGGCTGTCACCAACAGAGTCACTCATCAGATTAAATTTGAGGGACTTCTGCAGCCCCGTTTCCTCATCCTCCTCTACTGGTTTGGGTGGCTTGGGAGATTTGCTCTTCTTTGCCTTGATTTTATTTTTATTGTTTTTATTACTCTGCTTTGGGGCATACAGATCTTTTGTTTCTTTCTTGCCGGCCTGATAGCCACTCTTGGCTTCCTTCTGTCTGCAGTATCGGGCCAAAACCACCACCACAATGACCACGACAACTGCCACAATCCCAGCAAACACACCAAATAGGACGATTCTTTGCTGTTTGTTATGCTCGTATTCAGGATCCCCAGCAATATCAATGTTCAATGGAGTATCCTGACTGTGACCAAGTAGAGTTTCCACAAAGGTCTGGTTTGTCAAAGTATCATTGATATAGAAGTGGACTAAGGCTGTGCCGTGTCTGGTAGGTTTTCCTCGATCACTCACTCTTACTACTAGACGGTGCAGGCCATGGTGCTTCCTTAAAATCTGCTTTTCTAGGGTTACTTCACCTCCTGTGGGAGTTATTTGAAAAAGTTCATAGGGATTGCCACTAGCAATACTATATACAAGTTCAGCATTGATACCCGTGTCCATGTCTTCAGCTCGCACCTTGTTGACCTGGGTACCTGGGTGAGTAGAAGGAGTAAGATAAGCATATGAAATGTTTGACGGTACAACTATAACTGGAGCATTGTCATTCTCATCAAGGACATTAATAGTCACACCGACATATGCAGAACGAGGTGGGTCCCCTCCATCCACTGCCTTTAACCGGAAGGTGTATGTGCTCTGGTGCTCCCGGTCAAAGGAGATGCTGGAAAGGATAGTGCCCGTTCCATTCTGGATAATAAATTCACCACTGTCAGGCTCCACTGAGAGATGGATACGAGCATTTTCACCCTTATCTGCATCAATAACTGTGACCATTCCGACTGGGCTCAACCTAGGCATGTTCTCCATTACTGAGAAGTTGTAGCCATTTAGCATGAACTTTGGATCATTGTCATTACAGTCCAGAATAGTGATGACAACAGAAGCTGTCCCCTTTAGACTGGGGGTTCCCTTATCTGCAGCAACAACATGAAAGTCATAATGTTCTCTCTGCTCCCGATCTAACACGGTGTTAACTCTAATTTGACCAGAGTCTGGGTTGATGGAAAAGATTGCACGGGTACTGGCGTCGGCAAGAATGGAGTAGGATATCTGAGCGTTTGAACCACTATCAGCATCAGTTGCACTAACTTCCATTACAATATCATCAGGAGAGTTGTTCTCTTTGAAAGTCACCTCCATCAGACTCTGGGGGAAGATAGGTGCATTGTCATTCACATCAGTCACTTGCACCTTAAGGGAGTTGGTACTGGAAAGAGGAGGGTTACCAGAGTCAACAGCTACAATTTCGATAGTATATTCTTTAATAGACTCATAGTCCAGCGGGGTGGTGGTTTGTAGGAAGTACTTCTTTTTGCTGTCAGTACCTGTGTCGCTGACCTGTTTCAACTGGAAAGGAACATCCCTGGCCACAACACAGGTCACAGCAGCATTTTCACCCTCATCTATATCAGAGACCTGTACCAAAGCCACAGGTGTTTCCACTGGGACATCTTCCGAAATATTTGCCACGCCATCCTGGTGTGTTACCAGACCGAATCCCCTGATGTCAATTACTGGCTTGTTGTCATTCGTGTCACGGATGGTGATTGTAACTTGGGTACGTGCAGATTTTGGATTCGATCCTTTGTCCTTAGCCACCACCGAGAAGCGTAGAGTTCCAACATCTTCACGATCTATGGGACCCTGAACTGTAATCAAACCTGTTGCCCTATCTAAGTGCAGGAGCCGCCGAACGGTATCTGAGGCCTGGTGAAAAGAATAATCAATCTCAGCATTGGCACCTTGGTCAGAGTCGTTGGCTTTCACCTGTAAACACAAATTATAAAAGACAATTAGCTTGAATATCTTTGACATGAGATACTTGCTAAAAACTATTTAAAAATAGAGCATTACGTAAGAAACATACCAATGCATCTAAAATATTCGAAGATAACTTTTCTTAGTTGTAAACATAAATCCTAAGGATGGACTCACCATCAAAACATTTCACTGGTCATCCAACCAGCTTTCTCAATTCAGAATTACTTGAGAAAGCTGGTTGGATGACCAGTGAAATGTCTTCAAGAAAAATACAGCAAGTTCAGTTGCCTTGACTTATTTTTTACAGATATAGCATGACCTGGAGGAATGAGAACCTTCACAGACTCACCATCAACAGTTTTTATATTAACTTATATTAATCATAACTATTCTAAATTTACAACAATATCTAAAGTGACAAAAAAAAAACACATACTTTGCGTCTCTTATTTTACTTGATTCATACAAATACGAAAAAATATATATAAATAACAAAGACTAATGAGTGTTATCTCCCATTATTATTATTATTATTATTATTAACAAGCAATGGTAATGACAAAAATTCATCAATTTTACAGGAAACTCGAGAAAAAACATCAGCTTTTTTATGGATTTATAAAGTCTGAAGTCAATTTTATGAAATGCATATCTGTCAAAAAGGTCAATACAGTCATGAAGTGTGAGGATTGCTTTGATCACATATTGATGGTGTCAGAGCCACTCATCCATGACGGGTATGAATTTGAACCCTTGCAAACCAGGCTGCCACAATTATTATGTTGGACAGGGCTGTGATCAATACGCTGCTGAACTGAAAACTCTCATTTTCCAACCAGCCCAGACCAAAGCAGATAGGCAAGAGGGAATCAACACAAGCAGGAAATGACCTGCACTGCACTTGTACTAGCCACTCAAACACATCTCCCGATTCCTGCTGCTGTGAGATACTACTAGCTCACAACTGGTCGACTGGAAGCACATAGATGGAGAGTTGGCTGATCTGATCTAAAACTCATGCCTTCTTTTTCAGGCTCTGAGATTGCTTACTACTTACCTTTGCAAAAGTACTGATTCTATCTGGAAACATATACTACAATTAGTATTTAGAGAAAGGGCTTTGAAACAATGGCTTAAATCTAAGTTGACTCCCCCATTTGTAGACTTCACAGTAATTTTATTAAGACAGACAAAATAAGCCAGAGGCTGAAGACCCCTGTCCAGGAGTAGGTGTTTAGGACATACATGACCTCTTGACAGTGCTAATTTGTTGAATCCTTCAAAAAGGTCACATCAAGGAATTCACAAGTCAGACCTGGAGTCCTCCTTTCCGACAGACTGAGAAATAAGCCACCATCCAAAACTCACCTAACCGGTTCTTTGTCAGGCAAAGGCCCAAGTTATATTACACAGTAGGAATGCAAAAAATCCAGTAAAGCAATCACCTGGAACCAGTTAACCAATTTGAGCTGAGAGGAGCAGTCATGGTCACAGTAAACTGTGTGTTAAGACTGGAACTGGTTTTTCCCTAATTTCTTAACTGAAAACATCACAGTACAGACCAATGTGGTGTTTTAGATTTATGTTTGGCGCAACAGTTTTGTTGGAGTATATATTAAAGAGCTACTTCACTATTTGCATTTATGTGGATCAGTTAACACAAGACCCATTTCAAACTAAAAATAAAAAAAAAGGGGTAAGTACGCCAAACATAAATGAAAAAAATTAAAATACTTCTACTTCCCAAAATGTCATGGCTGTCCCTGATAACTCCTCCCACTGATTCCCAATAATTCCCAATAATTGTAAAGCAGTATTGGCAAAGCAAAACATTTTTTCTAGGTGTCTGGTTTAGGAAATTAGCCAATTTGCATACAAGCTGTCTCCCTAGAAGAAACAGAAAAACACTTCATAGCTTCATCTGAACAGCTCTGCTAGAAGAAAAAAGTTTTGTTTGCAACTGAGATGATGTCTATTGTTAGGCAGACAATGCCTATGTGCTCACTTTATTTGCACAGTACATTTGGGAGAAGCTGCATCATTAGTCTACATAAGGCACATCATTGTGTACACTAGTACAAACATTTCCAAACAAGGCCTTAAAAGAAGAACTCCAGGTAAAAGTGTCCTTAACCCTTGCAGTGGGGCTACCTACGAACTGCAAGGGTTAAGTGCTTGTGTTTGTTTAGGTCAGGGGTAGGCAACCTTGGCTCCCCCAGCTGTGCTGAAACTACAAATCCCATCATGCTTCTGCCTCTGGGAGTCATGCCTGTGGCTTGCAATGCCTTATGGGATTTGTAGTTTCAGCACAGCTGGAGAGCCAAGGTTGCCTACCCCTGGTTTAGGTGATAAAATATATACTAACTCGAACCGCCATGCCGGCTGCCTACTTCTCTGGTCACTGAAGCCTCTCTCCTCCTATACTGCATTATAGGAAAGTTCCTCAGTGACCTCATGTCTATACACGGTGTATAGAATGTGATAAATTAAAGGACCTCCTTAGACCACTGCAGCCTGGAACAGGTCTAAGAGCAAGCTGGTGCCGAGGACTGGGGGAGTATAACCTGTTTTTTTTTGTGGGTTTTTTTTTTTTTAGTACTTCCAAGAAAAACGAGCACTTAATCCTCGCACTGCAGGAGTAGCCCCACTGCAGGTGTTAAGAAAAATTCTTCCCGGAGTTCTGCTTTAAAGGACATATTTCATGACATATATAGGCTGCCTTTGGTGACCTCTGAAATGCTCATTGCCCGGCTGTCAATTGATGTTTTGGCTCCACAGGTATCTGTTCTCTACAATAACCTGCAAATGCAGACATAGTGACCAAGTGGACATAACCAGCTTCACACAAACCACTGGAAAAGATTTTGCCCTTAAGCTGACCATATACCTATAGAGCATCTGCAGACTTTCTATGGTCAGGTGGAAAAAGTACAACAGATTCCGCCGTCTACGCTAAACTGTGTGGATGGAGGAATCTCCCACTGGGTCAAGCTTCAGTATCTTGCTAGTCCGCCCCGCTGGCTCTCAAAATACCTGAACAATCTGACTGGATGTAGTCATTGTTCAGGTATTTTGAGAGCCAGTGGGGCTGACTAGCAAGATACTGAAACTTGGCTAAGCGGGAGATTCCTCCATTTCACCCAGTTTAGCGTAGATGGCAGAATCTGTTGCACTTTTTCCATCTGACTATAGGCTGATAGAGAAAAAAATCTATAGAAAATCAATAGGTGTATGGCCAGCTTAAGCTAAAAAGGGCCTTAGAATGTTTTATTTCCTTTTTTGAGCATGTCAGTTTAATTCAGCAAACAGATCTCCATTTACCGGAGCAGAGCAAATTACGGCCCTTAACCCCTTCATGACTGAGGCCCTTTTTTCAATTTTTGCACCCATGTTATATTCCACATTTTAGGCCTGAAAATGACGTAATGAGGCCATTTAAGACTCAATGAAAAGTAAACTGACAACAAAGACTGGTTGAAAGACTCATCTTGACTCAATACTGTCCTGCTGTGACTACATGGACAACATTTTTCTAAAGTTAATTTATATGTGAATGTATGCACTGGTTGTAAGTGACCTGCATAACTCAGCCATGACAAACATTGCATCCAGGCTGTGGAATGAGGAGTCATTAGCAGCAATTTCTTAATTAATGGGTTGCGTCTTTGATGACATTGAACTTATGTTACCTGCCTAATATGATAAAAACAACAACTAGACTGAAAACAGATTAGAATCAACTTCTTTAAAAGCTGCATTTTAACAGGAAAGACTTTAAAGTCCCCTGATTGCTTTAACTTGAACAGTGTCTTATTTACCTGAGTAAGTTTTCATCTAACTGCTGCCTAATCCCTTCAGGCTGTAATCCTGAACAGAATGGAAGAGCCACTTCATTAGGCACACAGCATATACTTTGATTACTTATCTGATTGAAAACAGGTACGCATTTATGCTGAAAACTTGTCCTCTGCTCGCAAAACTAACAAACCGATTCTAAAAAGTCAAACAAGAATACATTTCAGAGAAATGGGACAGGGCATTCTCTACTAACCTGGAGTACGGAGTGCCCCATTGGGCTGTTCTCAGGCAGCGCTGCCTCGTAAGCCATCTTTTCAAATTTGGGAGCGTTGTCGTTGGTGTCCAGGATGGAGATGCGCAGTAGGGCACTGCTAGCTCGTGGGGTGTTGCCACCATCTTGAACTTTAATTGTGAGATCATAAGAGTCTCTTTGCTCTCGGTCGAGATTTCCCATGACAATGAGCTGAGGTTGTTTCTCATCTTGGTCCTCGGCTACCTGCAGTCCAAAAAGTTCATGTGCCTCAGGGCCCACAATCAGCTCATAGGATGCCACCCCGTTGACTCCAGAATCCCGGTCAGTAGCAGCAGGGATTGGAAACAGCATTCCGATATTCGTGTTCTCTGGAATGGACAGCATGAGGACCGGAGAAGCAAAATTAGGAGTGTTATCATTTATGTCCAAAACCTCAATCTGACCATCGAGAAGCTTGGGAACTGGGGACATCAGGTCCGTCATAGACACCTCAAACTCCAAGAAGCATGGCTGGCCTGGGAACAAGTTCTGGCACTCACGCAGGCTCTCTCGGTCAATGGCCGTCTCAGTTGTATAGATGTCTCCAGAATTGCCATTCACTCTGAGGTAAGGATGCCCCAATTCCAGCTTGTACAGGTGCTTCGAGTCTGGGTATCCATAGTCCACAGCCAAGCTTCCAATCAAGACGTTAGGGGGCTGCTCTTCCTCTACCTTGTATTTCACCTGGGTGGAAGATCCAATAAGGGGAAGTTGAAAGAAAAGCCATAGGTAGAAGCAAGATGCTGCCTTCTTCATCCTTGGTTTTAGCGAGTGTGGCCACTCTGTAGAGAAAACAGAAACCAGGTTAAGGCCAGGGAAACTATCGGCCAATCAGAAAACAGCAATTACTCTCATGCTAATCAGTGAAACTCTGAAGGACACCCTGCTGTGGAATGCAGGTGTCTTGTTTCTGAACTTTCTGTTCTGTCTGACGTGTTGCACAGTCAAGGTAAAGCCGAATACAGAACAGGAAAAAATAGCTGATGTCACATACACCTAGTAATTGTGTCCCTGATGTGGCACAATGCAAAGCCACACCTGTGTGATTAGATAACTTCCTTAACAGGTGTCATGCAGAGAGTTTAATCATTCACAGCGAGGGGGAGAAATGACAAACTACAGTACACCGCTGATCACCTCAGTACATGTACAAAGAATGCAGAAAGTTCAAAATATGACACATTTATTGCTGCCCTAAGTTATGCAATTAACAAAAACGGGACAAAAACAGTTTTCATACAGAACACTACCCCCTCCACCCCCACCCCAGGCACATGAGGCAGCTGCCGTTAAGTCTTTGTGAACCTAAAAAGTTTGTTTTTCAAGTTTTACTTCTTACTTTCCTGGTGACAACGGTTTCACTGGGCAGGAAGTGATCATTCCCAGAGACACCACTACCCCGGTATGTGTTGCCATGACAGCGGGGATGCTGGTATACTTGTCCGGTCATATCCTAGACGCCTTTAGGGCAGCCTTCCAATATCCCAATTTATGCACGTTATGCACATTTGTTCCGACAGTGATGCATGCCAAAACACAACTTGACACAATGTACCAGAAATGTTTACAGAACGGGTATCCCAGTGCAGCGATGGTCCGTGCTTTACCCATAGCAACCCATATATAAAAAAATACAAAAATCACAGGGGCCACGCTCAACAGGATTCGGTTTGTACAAAAGGTATAATGACGCATCACGCATAGTGCGTAAAACCACCATGAGAAAAACATTTTCCAAGCAGATGGGAACCGTGCCCCATCAGCTAGGGTGGCACCAATGCATGTGTATAGTCGCAATAAGATACAGCGTGATCATTTAGCACATGCTGACCCCAAATACACCAAACCCTCTATCAAGATCTCTAACAAATTGGGTTGTTATAAATGTTTCATCTACAATGTCTGTAATTCCCTCATCACTGGCGAAAAATTTTCACCCACACAAGGGCAACCAGTATAAAATGACCGGGTATTTTAACGAATACCAAATATTGCATATTTATGCTAAAATGTCCATGTGCCCTTGTTTACGTTGGTAAAACAGTTTACCCTTTTAAAAGGAGATTTTAAAAACAGCGGGGTAACATTAGAACGAGTATCACAAAAGCCGCCAAAGTGGAAGAACGACAACCAACCGGTCGCTGTACATTTTGCAACATATAGCCATCATGTTCATGAAATAAGAGGCATGGTCCTCGGGCACGTACTAGCGTATCCTAGAGGGGGCGATAGAGACAAGTGGCTCTTGAGGGAGGCGTTTTGGATATATACAACGGATACGGTTACCCCCAGGGGATTGAACACAAACCTCTCATTGGCTTGTTTCCTGTCTGAATTATGAAAAAGTTCCCAGTCTGAAATTGATATATTACTACTCCATTAGTTTTAGTTTGATTTCCAGCAACAAGCTATTAATTGAGCTCATTGGCTGCCGCCTCTGCTCGTACGAAGATCTTCCGAACGGCTCCTTCAATCTAAGGGAGGTCGGCCGAAAAGGGTGCAGACGGCAGCACCCACCCATTTCGGCTGGTTCATCAAGAACTGGCCGAAATTCACACAGTGTATGGCAACCTTTAACAAATCCGACCCCACCCTGACCCCC